TTAAAAAGGAACGGCTAACAAGCCTGATTTTCCGGGTCACGGATCGTTTTGCCATGCGAGGGATGAAGTTCAAACACGTTCTATAAATTATTATATTTTTGAGTTTTGAGGGAAGGTGGGGGTACGGGGTTGGGATGGGAGGTGGGTGGGAGGAGGTAAGGGGGGGGGGGATTATGAGCTGGGAGTGGGTAAAGGGGGAGGGGGGTAATGAGCTGGGGGGGTGTGGTGTGGGAAGAGGTAAGGTGGGGAGAAGGGAAGGGAGAGGGGTGGGGAGGGTGGGGGAGACGGTAGGAGAGGGAGAGGGAGCAGGATGTGGAGAGACGGTAGGAGAAGGGAAGGGTGAGGGGAGGGAGAGGTTAAAGAAGAGAAGGGAGAAGTGGAAATGCGTGTAGGGAGAAGGAGAAAGTGGAAGTGAGAAGACTGGGGGTGGAGTGAGAAGGGAAAAGTGGAATATGGGAGGCTAAGGGTGGAGTGAGAGAGGGAGAGTGGCATGGCAGGAGCTAGGAGTGGAATGAGAAGGGGAAAATGGAATAGAAAGGATAGCGGAAGAGCAGGGGACAGTTGCCGTGGATTGGATGGACGCATATAGAAAGCTCAATATCTCATACCATTAACAGGAAATTTGAACCTTAATGGCATTTAATATACACTGCATTCTCCCTCGCGTAAATGCATTCAGGTGACATCCCATTTATCTGAATCACTTGCTATTCAATTAGAATATTTCTTATTGCACAGCTGATGCTTATCATTCTTGCTTTGAACTGAGATGGCTGTCAGATTCATGATTATTATCACTGCTATCATTCATTGTTATCCTTATTATTTTATCATCATTATTGTTATTATTATTATCATTATTATCATCATTGTTATTATCATCATCGTTATTATTGTAATAAATATTGTCAGTATCATTTATTATCATTATTATGATTATCATTATCATTGTTATTATTATGATAATTGTTATCACTGTTATTATCATTATAATTTTTGATATCATCATTATCATTATCACATTGCTACTAGTACTAATATTCTCACAATGAACAAAAACAAGAAAAAAAGGTACCTGCACAATACCTCCTGGAAGGATTGTTCGATTGAATGCATATTTTGCTTCAAGGATTTTATTTATTTACTTATTCATTATTTAAGTAAAAGCATGATCGGTTTGGGCTCCACTGCACTGGTTTTAGAATAAGTTATGGATCTAATTTTGTCGAAATACATGGTCTTTCGAGGCCTTGACCGCTTGCCTGAGCATTGAATTTTCTTTTATTCATTTCTTACCACGCCTGTGAGGCTCCTGTTGAGTCACTTGCTTGCAATTGTCACCTGGCCATATTTCACTTAAGGCAAAGGATAGTAGTGATATACAAGTAGTTGTCTTATGTATGTGAAACTTCTCTTTCCTTTTAACTTTATGGCTGTTTTCCTGATTTTTTGTATGCTGATTTTCGCTCTGGCTCTGTCTCTTTCTCTGTTTTTGTCTGTCTGTCTCTCTTTCTATATGTCTGTTCCCTTTCCTTTCCCCCTTCCTCTCTATCTCTGTTCATCTCTTTGTCTCTATCTGTCTATTTGTCTCTTTCTCTGTCTCTCTCTTCTTTTTCCCTCCCCTTTTCATCCTCTCCCTCCGTCTCTCTCACTCTCCCTTTATCTCTCTAATTCCATCCTTTTATATCTCTCTCCTCCGTTTCCTCTCTCTCTTTCCTCCTCCTGTCCCCTATCTCTCTTCCTTTCCCCCCTTCTTTCTCTCTTTGTGCCTCCTGTCCTCTCCCTCTCTCCTCTCTCTCTCCTCTCTCTCTCTCTCTCTCTCTCTCTCTCTCTCTCTCTCTCTCTCTCCTCTCTCTCTCTCTCTCTCTCTCTCTCTCTCTCTCTCTCTCTCTCTCTCTCTCTCCCTCTTATCTCTTTCTCTTTCTTGAACCACCCCATCGCAAGCCCAGCATTTGCACTTTCTTTATTTCAACTTATCTTTCACTCCATTTTGTGCCTCGCTGCCTTTCGCTTAATTTTATTTATTTCACTTTTCTTTGTCTACATATTATTTCTTTATTTCAGTCAAGTCCAAGACGTTAGAAATAAAAAATCGAGTAATGATAAAAAAAATGTAATAAATGCAATTAAGAGAAAGAGAGAAAAAAACAACAACAACAGAGAAATGAAACTGGCATAAGGGTAAAATAATCTTGAAATAGAATGAATAAAGATAAATCATACAGATAAAACATGATTATCAAACAATAAACAAAACAGATGAAATGCAAAACGGATAAAGATAGACGAAAAGATCAGACGCAAGCTGTATGTTAGCCTTTTAGAGATGGGGCTCTCCGGGCTTACTGTTTTTATTCTAAAGTGTATATTTCAAGTTCAGTTGTTTAGGTTTATAGTAAAACTGGGCTTTGTGGAGCTCACGCTTACGTACACAAGCATGCACACAAGCACACACACATACACACACACACACACACACACACAGATTGAAAGCAAAGTAAGACAGAAAAAAAACGTGAAACATGTCAAGGTCATTTTTCTTATACATTTTTACTACATTCTTTTTTTCCCTACAGTTAAATATTCTCTCTCTATCTTTTTGCGATTTTCCACCAACGGACGATTCCATTTTCCTATGAAACTCGAATTCATTGTTGATTTTCCGGTAAACGGATTTTTTCTCGCGTTCTCCTCCAGAACAGATTGCATACGAAGTCATCTCAGATTTTCGGTAACTTTGTCAATATTATCGATGCGGGTATTCGCTTTAAGAAAAGAGAAATCGGCTTGACAAAGTGAGAATCGCCATTATTTTTATTATTATTACTATCATTATCATTATTGTTATTTTCCTATTATCATTATCATAATTACTATTACTACTATTATCAATATAGTTATATTACTATAATAATGATAATTATTGTTATCATCATTATCATTGTTATCATCATCACTATTACCATTATTATTATCTTTACTACTACTACTACTACTACTACCATTATTATCATTACCATTATTGTCAACACCATTATTGTTATCATTGTTATTATCATTACTATTATTTTTACCATCATTTTCATCGTCAATACTATTGTTATTATTATTATTATCGTTACGATTATTGTCATTTCTACCACTACTACTACTATCATTACCATCACCAGCAGCGCCGCCATCACCATCATCATCATTATTATTATCATTATCATCATTATTATCATTATTATAATTATTATCATTATTATAATTACCATTACTATTAATATCATTATTATTATCATTATTGTTACCATTATCATCATTATTATTGTTACTATTATCATTATCATTATAATAGCTGTAAGCTCTGAATGAGATCTTGAATGAATGCTGTGAGTGTAGATGAATGAGGGATTAATAGATAAATTAATAAAATAGTAAATGAATAAGAGGGTGAATAAACGATTGAAGAGGTAGATGGATGAACACATTAATGAATGAATAAATAAGCAAATGAATAAATAAATAAATAATTAGATAGATACATGAATATGTAAATAGACATAACGAAGAAACAGATAAACACAACACAAAACAAATTAATTAAAAACCCAACAGAAATTAAACCAATCTAATCAAACAAAGAAAACAAGACAAAGAGACAAACAAACGCATAGAAAACAGACAAAAAACAAACAAACACACACACACACAAAGCCCCCCCTCCACTGTCTAGGATCACCCCGAGCCCCAAACACAATAGGATCAACCAAATATAAGACACTTTGGTTGTTCTTTCTCTCGATCCGTCTAATACGCCCAGATCTTCCGTTTCATCAACGTCTCGCGGAGGAGATTCCCCCGAAGGCTTTTCCTCGGCTCGGCTCGCGGAGATTAACCCGAATAAGGAAGGGCTGGAGGCGGCGGCTCGCGGACACGGCTCTTGGGGGGAACGGAGGCTGGCGGCTCATTAGGAAGGGCGAGATAGAGGAATACAGATAGAGATAAAATCACACACACACACACACACGCACACATGTATTTATATAAACAACTACACACACACACACACACACACACACACACACACACACACATTATATATATATATATATATATATATATATATATATATATATATATATATATATATATATATATATATATATATATATATATATATATATATATACATTTTGTAGCCCAGCTATATCTATATCTAATTACTATATGATACACATATATATATAATTACATGTTTGTCACATACGAATCTTCACACATACATATACATATATACGCCTGACCATTGCATCCCCTGTTTATTCCTCTCTTATTGCCACACCAGACATTCCAATGTCGTGTTGTCTATCTCTTCCACAAGAGCTATGTGCTGATGTAACGCTTGCCTGTTCATCACCGTTCGTCAGATGCTAACCACGTGACTTGATATGATCTTTAAACCAGCGTATTAGAGATCAAGCAGACTCCCTGCGGAGAGCCAAGGAGCAACACCTCGCTCCGAGGAGCTGCCGCATTCCAACATCTTATTCAGTAAAGGAGTCAAGACATCTTGGTTGTCTACCTTAACCCTAAGCTCGCCATCTACCAAACTCTTGTAGGACCCAACATTTGGGCTCT